TTCACCATGGGCACCTTGTAAGTGTATGAACACTGTGAACGCTAGGTAGAGCTTTTACCTCATGTCTTGTACACTGTGCCAGCTGCCCTGTGGATGGTCCCTACCCATTTGAAAAGGTTGTCTGTTTGATTCAGGTAAGGTAGAAGTTCCTTTGTCACCAAAATACCATGAAGGTCAACAGCTCCTGCTACAGCCTCTTGGCCATGGGACCCCAGGCAGTTCCCCACTGGGCTTAGCTCCTTTACAGCCAGAAGCAGCACAGGCCTAGGGTCGCAATTGTGGGAGACCATCTGGGCTACACTAGCAGGGAAACAGTAGTTCACCTGCAACTGGTTTTTTGTTTGCTTTTCAAACTTTGTTGTGTTTTGTTTTGCTGAGACAAGGTCTTGCTTTGTAGTGTAGGCTGGCTTTGAACTGACTGTAATCCAGGCTGACCTCCAGTTCAAGGCATTCCTCCTGCCTCTGCCTCCCAAGTGGCAGGCTTGTACCACCATGCATGGCCTGTGTTCAATTATCTTTCCATACCAGGTCTCCTTTCTAAAGTAGATGGTTTTTGTTTTAATTAATTAATTAATTAATTTTTTTTGGTTTTTGGTTTTTCTCCGGTACCGGGAACCGAACTCACGACCTTGCGCTTGCCAGGCAGGCGCTTTTGCCGCTGAGCTAAATCCCCAGCCCACCAGGTCTCCTTTCAATTGGTAAAGATAACTGGGAGTCAACATGTAGCCTATCTGGGAGACTCAGACTTAAATACTGGGTTTGTGTAACAGTTGATTTCACATTTGAAAACAATCTAGAAATGGTTAGCATTAAATGAGGTTAAATACAAATTAACTCAAGGTTCATTGGTAATTGGCAAGCATAATTTCTCTTGAAATGATATAAGCTCTATTCTGTAAGGAATGGGGTGAGGCAGAGACCAACCGAGACCACCGGGATTGTGTAAAGGCAACATGGCATGGAATTTATTGTGCCTTTTTTTATAGGGCTTTATGTTCACTTTTTTTTTCTTTTTTTTTTTGGTATCAGGAATCAAACTCAGGACCTTGTGCTTGCCAGGCAGGTGCTTGTGCTGCTGAGCTATATCCCTGGCCCTGTAGGGCTTGAAAGAAGGCAAGGGTCATTAGGAGGAAGATCTTGGTAAATATCAGTGGTCAAAGTTCTCTGGATGACTTGTACCTCTGGGCATCTGTGTAAATGTTGAGGTGTCTGTGTAAATGTTTGGGTGTCTTCAGATGTCCAGGTGTTCAGAGGATTCAGTGCTCCATCTTATCCCTTTTGTGACCTCCTGTGTCTGCCAAGAGCACCACTGTCGAGCTGAAAGACAATGCCTCTGCTGGCAGACAGGTTGGGTGTTGGGAGTGGTCATGTCTGAATGGAGCCTTACATATGATGTCCTTTTTTTAGTGCCAGAATTTTATCATTCTAGCTTGTAAATGATCAGCCTTCCATAGCAACTTGAAGGTATTTATTTTTGGTTTTTTGTTTTGTTTTGGTGCTGGGAATCGAACTCAGGCCCTTGTCCTTGCCAGGCGGTCGCTGTGCC